GATGTGGGGGGGGGGGGGGGGAAAAATTCTTGAGTTTTCTCTTTGTCTTTATCTCTCAGACTTTTATCAAGGATATGTTTAAAATTCCAAGATTATTCAAATGAAAACTGAAATTTTTTCCTTGAGTATGATGAATTTCTAAATTAAAAAAAGTCAAAGACTAACTCAACTTACTGAGACACCTTTGGACTCTCATCTCTCAGCCTAATAGGAGGAATCAGCCAGTAAATAGAATGCCATGGGTATGGTTTTAGAATCTGAGGTTGTGGTAATAGTAGTCAAAACCACACAGATACTGCTTTTCCTCTGTCTCTTGGAGAATACATTTTGCATTTGTATCGTAAACCTCACAGAAGTCTTCATAGCTCTCCACCTGCTTCCCTCTTCTGCACCCGTTTGTGGAGAAGAGAGAGCTGAGTGCTGTGTACTTGTAACTAGTGGGTCCTGGAAAAGGTCAATAGAACTTGCCTTATTGGTTCACCTTTTATGCCTGTACCTCTTCTGGCATTTATACTTCACTCAGATTTAGAATGGGTGTTTCCTAAGGAGAAATTTTCAGGATAATTATTTTGCAGTACTGCCCTACGCCAGAATAATTTTTAAGGTGGGAATGAGGCATTCTGAAATGAGTTCATATTGGCCCTGCTAGGAGAATGCTGCTTAAGCCTAGGTGGAAGTTGACTTTATTTGCACAGCTTGTTGCTGCAAACACAAAGCGCTTTTGTTGACCTGCTTAATCCTTCCTGAAAGTTAGGCCTTTGAACTTGTTCTACGTGTCTAATAAATTCAGTATGAAAATGTACACTGTACTTGTGCTGCACAGTTAAATTTTTGTATGTTCTTGTTGCCATAAATAACCCTGCCACTCAGGCCACAGCTCAGTGCTTCAAAGCCTGTACAAGAAGCTCATCTATTAGTATTTCCAGTGAAAGTGAAATACAGCAAAAAATGAACCACATACTTAAGTTTAGATTATTTTGATGTGGCATCTTTTAGCAGCGTGGCTGTTAATGTAAAAACTGCTTTCAGATACTTCTTAGCTACATAAGTCTTTTTACACCTTTTTTTTTTTTCTTTATTTACAACTGTAGGAAGTATGAGAAGGAGGTGTCTTTCAGATAAGTTGGAAGATAACATGGGACATCAGAAATCAAATTGAAATCCAAATGATTTGTGAGGTAGAGCTAGAGTGTATGCGTATACAGTTTAATCTGTTAGTGGCTGTTTTTCTCTTATGATATTTTTGAATATTGGCTATTGTAGCAGCCTCAGTTACAGTTCTGTTTTGTGTTTTTTCTGTGCAACCACAATCATGTGTTGCACACAGCTTTACCTCCTCGTTCTTCTGGACTTTGAATAAAGCCTAAATGGTTTCAGACAACACAATGGACACTTGCATATAAGAATTAGATCTATCATGAATTCAAGGTGAAAAAAAGTTAGAGTTCTGAAAAAGTTCTTAAAGCTTATTTTCTATTTTTATTTGTCTTTATTTAATAGAACTGCTTCTCAAGTGTGTTTAATGAAATTCTCACCAGATGGGGAGTTTTTTGCTACTGCTGGAAAGGTGAGCATTTCTTTAATTGTCTTGTAATAATTCAGAAAGCAAACAAAACAAAAACACATATTAAACACCACCTCCCACAACCCTTTCCAGTGAAACATTCCCTTTTTATGTTTTTTGCATAGTAGTTCCAGTAATCCCTTGATGCATTTTTACATTTTAGTAAATAATAATTTTGGAGAAAGGTAGGTTGGGGTGCAGGGAGGGATGGACAACCCCAACAAATATTCAATGCTTACTATTTTAAAATACCTATTTTTAAGTCTGTACCAGATTATAAGACATCAGAAAGAGGAGAGTTTCAGGGAATGGGGGAGATGGGTGGATGAGCTCACTTCTGGGTATCCTTCCACAGAGGAAATAAATTCAGTATGTCACTGTTATCATGACAATGTTTTGATACCTTCTTCTGTAAATGTACCTGTATGCCTTTCTGCATGGATGGAATAGAATTCTCATTCCCCTCCTCAGGATATTCACAAATAGTTCATGTCAATGTTACAGAACTAATCTGTAAGATTTGCTACAGAGTTGTGTGCTCAGTGTTGAGTGATGTATCAGCAAAAGCATTAAAACCCCCTGGCAAAATAATTAAAATGTCACCATCATATCTTTTCACTTCCTGAAACACTAACAAACAAATCTTTTATTTATATTACAAAACTTGTTTAGGTTTTGTAAGAGAATAATAGCCTACCCTGTCAAAAGCAGAAAAAAATCAAGATAACATAGGGGATTCAGTGAAAAAGTGAGACAAATACATATGAGCATTTATATTACTTGCTAAGGGATGTGAAATGAATTATTGTTTTCTGCAAGTAGTACTGTTGTCTTTGTTAAGAAGAGAGTCACACTGATATTGGTCAGAAAATTCTGGCAGGAGTGTCCAGGCCCACGTTGTGAGAATTTGTGGAATTATCAAAGTAGATTTTTTTTTTGGGGGGGGGGATTCTCTTCAGATTGCTATTTTTTAAAAAAGAAAATTTAACAGCGTAGGAAGTTTTAACACAGATTAACAGATGCAGGTAGGCATCAAGCTCATGATATGAAATAAAGAACCCAGCAAAGACTGCAGATTTATTAAAAAGGAAACAAAGTGTTAGTATGTAAGGTTAACTGAGACAATGTATTTGCTGAGATGAGTGAAAACGTGGTTTAAGTGTCACAAAACCCAGAGCAGTATTAACCTGCAAGGTGAGTTTCAGACTTAAGAATGAAAGACAGTTGGGCAGTTTGGTCTAGTCTGTTTCAGAAGCTTGAATGAAAGATAGTATGTACACGTAAGAATTGGTTAGGACAGTGTGATTTAGCAGCAGCCTGTGGAACTTAGCTGTGCTTTTTGCATTGTAGTCTCTTACATGCTTGAAGCACAAAGATTCAAGGATGGTTCAGTCTGCAAACAAGTCTTGTTTATAAAAGGTTTAAAAGATTTTCATGTGCATTTTTGTGATTTGGTGGTATGCATCAAGAACATATGAGTAACACGAGTTTTGCTTAGTTGTAGATGTTTGGTTTTTCATCTAAAACTTGGCATTTCAGATTATTATTAAGCTTGCTGAGAAGACTGACACTTAAGACATTTGATATCTTTAAGGAAGAGACAAAGATGCAGCAAATTTGTAAAATAATCTAGATTTCTTTTTCAATGTAAACTGTATTTCAATTCACTAGTTTCCAGCACATGAAGTGAAATACTAGCCTTTCTTGAAGATAAACTATACCTTGTATTAATAAAAAAGCAACAACTTCTCACACTCGATTCCTCATTTGCTTATTTGGGATGTCATATTACTTGCTATATGTTTGTTGATGTCTTTAGCCACTTACTGGCTGAAAGGAGAGTTACTTCAGTCAAGTGTGAGATAACTGTTACTTACAAAATTGTTGGAGCAGAGGTTTTAAGTGTTTTGGCATTGTTGGCAATAGTATTTCACTTTTTTCTTATGGGTGGGAATTAAAACTTGACTTTTAAAATAAATATTAATGGATTCTAATGTTATAATATGATTGAATTGTGGAAAAATAAATTGATCTGCAAATAGCTTCCATAGGGGTAATATCCTTGCAGTTTTAGACCGGAATGTCTTCTGTCCTGTTATGTTATCTTACATTATGAACTCATGCAAACCATTTCCTGAATAAGTAGGAAAAGTTACTAAATAGGAAAACGAATGGAATTTTTTTCAAGAAATGACCAAGTTAATTACCTATCTGCAGAATCTTTAAAATAGATCTTTGTTTCTATGTCTTCGTTCTTTAATTTTTTTTATGAGATAAGGTGCTAGTCAGCAAAACAACCTCCACTTCCCTCCAAATAGTCATGTTAAGCATATCAAGGTTATGCAATATTTCAGTACCATTAGTATCTAGATCCACATTAATTTATCCATTCCTTAAAGGAATAAGGACAAGGACAGTAGGAACATGACTTCCTCAATTTATGCATATGTGTATGTAAGAAAAGCAGGCTGAGCAGTACTGAGCTTGATTTTTGAGATGTTATCTTTGACCTTTTTTTAATTCCCAAGACTTACATTTGTGTGTAGGTTTTGGTGACTTTCTGTCAAAGTGTAATAAGTTGCATTAACATTTGAACACCAACTCAAGCCAGTACAGTTTGAGTTTTTGTAGTTAAAAACTGGCAGCTAGTCAGAATGAGCAGAATCAAATCCTAATAATGGCAAGAGAGATTAAAAGGAAGTTCTGCTACTGTGTTTTCTTTATGATCAAGTTTTGGGGTTTTATTTACTGAACGGACTTCCTCTCATCAGAAAAGTGTTTACTTAAAAGAGAAATGAAAACTCAGGAGATGTACACAAGTACTGGAAGTGCAGCATATGCCTAGAATCACAGAATGGGGTTGGACTAGATCTCCAGAAGTCCCTTCCAACCCCCCTGCCAAATCAGGTTCACCTGGAGCAGGGTGCACAATGTGGCATCCAGGTAGGTTTTGAAAGTCTCCAGGGAAGGAGACTCCACAGCCTCTGTGGGCAATCTGTTCCAAGGCTCTGTCACCCTCACAGTAAAGAAGTTTTTCCTTATGTTTAGGGGAAACTACTTGTCATCCAGTTTGTGCCCACTGCCCCTCATTCTGTCACTGGACACCACTGAAAAGAGTCTGGTTCCATCCTCTTGACACCCACCCTTTCAGTATTTATAAGCTTTGATGAGATGCCCTCTCAGTCTTCTCCAAGCTGAACAGCCCCAGGTCTCTCAGCCTTTTGTAAAAGAGATGTTCCAGTCTCTAATCGTCTTTGTAGCCCTCTGTTGGACTTTCTCCAGTAGTTCTTGTCTCTCTTGAACTGGGGAGCCCAAAACTGGACACAGTACTCCAGATGTGGCCTCACTTGGGCACAGTAGAGAGGGTGGAGAACCTCCTTTGGCCTGCTGGTCACGCTCTTCTAAATGCACGGTACTCTTATTTACTGTCTTTTTTTTCTTTCTCCAGGATGATTGTCTTGTGAAAGTATGGTACAATACAGACAGCTGGCGATCGGCCATAACCCCACCTGGTGCAAGTCCCGAAAAACAAGCAAAAGAGGTTGAGTTTTCATTTGTTTATTTGGCTCATCCTCGATCAGTAAATGCATTTTCATGGAGGAAGACCAGTAAATTCATGCCACGGTCAGTAGCTCTAATAGCCTGGGGTTTGTAAATTGCCCCACCCCCCAAACTGTAGACTTTCCCAGCTGTACAGTCAACAGGCACACATGTTGTACAATTCACTTCAGTTAATAATAGATTGTACACCTTCTGTATTGTTTGTGTGTGTTTGTATAATTCTTTCACACTGAAGATCTTGAGAAGATACTAACCATCTGCATCCTTTTACCTGAGAAAGAACTGGAAAGACAGAAAGGGAGTTCCACGGACTGACTTAGATATTGGACCAAATATAAAATCAGCTCTTGCAAAATTGCGTCTTTGTATCTTTTTTGATGGTACTGTCTCAAATGACCATTCATGCATTTCATCTGGACTTCAGACGTAATGCAATGAGAGCCATTCAAACCTCCTGTCACTTCATGTAATTTTTCTCAAACATTCAAGTATTTCTGTGTCTTTTTATATCTAGTACAAAACCAGACCTCTGTCAGAAATGTTATTTGGAAATTGCGTTTGAATTATATTTAGAATTGATGTTTTGGATTTGACTGTTTTGTGTTTTGATGATTCCTAAATGATCTGTCATCATTTCACCAGTAAATATGATCTTAAACTGAATATTAGTAATTCTGTGTACTGCAACCATCTTTTTACCGTATTATTCCAAATAGTAGCCATTTGATTTCTTCATACCTTTCTTTATTTGAGAAAGTTTATGCTGTGTTTTATACCAGCCTTTAAGTAGAAGACTCTTCATAAAGCCATTATTGTAGTACTTAACTCTTTTTGAAAAGCCACCTACTATGTGATACCTAAAGGAGTTTGCTGCTGGACATTCCAGTCAGATGATCCATATAACTTTTGAGTCTTAGCTAAAATTAAATTGTGAACTTACATGAACTGGAACCTGATCATCTGCATAGTTTTCCTCAATGCCTAGTTTAGGTTAATTGGATTTTTAAAAATATGTCTATATAGCGCAAATTGCATTTGGAAAAATAGTAATTATGAAAAGTGTGTAGTTTTAGATTGGCTGTTCTATTCCTGGTGTTACCTTGGTTTCTCCGTTTTCGATATATAATTCTGAAAGTGCTGTATAGCAGTAAGATCTGGGGAACTGAGAACAAGGTATCCAGAATATGATTGGCCTATTATGTGAAGGACTTAAAAAAGAAAAACATTAATTTTGCTGTTTTAGCTATTACTGATTGTGTAAATTGAAATCCATGATGTTGCACACAATGTTGCACAGGCGTGTAATGACATTTGAGGTAATTTCTATTCAGATACTTCAACAAATATGGAAGCCATTTGTATATACTTTGTTTTCCTAAGAATATATTGTTGAGGTTTTCTTTTTTAGTATCTTTAAGTTACTTGGTGCAATTCTGAAAACTGATAGTGGAAAACTTGCTTTCTTTTGATGTGATGCAGTAGTAAGCAGCTTCTTCATACCTTAAATTTTCTTTCATTAGTGGTGCTGTCTGCAATGTGCTCCTGACTTGCTGTAAGGATAATGTCTGTCGTCTCTGGGCAGAGACACTGTTACCCAATGACAGTCTGTTGTATGGTGGCGCATGCAACAATTGGAATGAATCGGTGAACTTCACGAATAACTTCAAGAGAAATACTTCAAGTAAGGAAAAAGTGCAAAATGCTTTAGAGGTAAGAAGTGACATTGAACAATGAGAATAAACACGTACATACTCAGGTAATTTTTGGCAGGATTGTAAAAAGACACATTCCATAAGCTGTAGTCACTTATACCACAGATGTGTGTAAGATGTTACAAATGAGTGAATTTACTTGAGGTCTTCCTTAGGAAGGTTAAGCTGACAGCCATCCTACTGAGCTTTCACATTTGAAGACACTGTTCTTATGTTGCTACTGCCTCTTTTGCTTTGGTGACTGAAGCAAATAGCTTTGCAGAATCTAATTCAAAGGCCTAGGAACAGTGTGGAGCACATAGTCTATATAGGTTTTGTGAAACCCACTAATGATGCTGCCTTAGTATTTATGGTGGGGGCTCAGTTGTTACCTCTGAAGTTGTGGGACGTTCTCTGGCTTCTGCAACTGGAAAAACAATGATAATATGGAGGGAAGAAATACAGTCTTCACCCTCTGTGTAGAGGAGACTGCCTGTAAACTGTATCTCTAAGGCAAATGATCCTTACCAGATAGTTTTCTAACCAGTGGGGAGCAGGGGGAAGGCAAAACTTTACTGGTCTACAAAGCTGCATGTGGAGTGTTGGGCATTGTGCTTCTGTCTTAATGGAGTGATGTATTTACTGTGCTGATGGTGCTTTCTTAGTGTATGTGGCATAGATGAGAAACATGACAGGTTGGAAGACACAAAAAAGTGAAGAAATAATGTTCAAAGAGCAAAGGAAGTTGGAGACAGTTCTGTGGTACTGTTGAAAACAAGAGGCAACGTTAAGATCGGAAGTAACAGTTATGTAAAAATTGAGAGCTGACTATTTTACATGAGCCTGCTGTGGTAAGATGCAAAAGACAGCAAGCTGAACAGAATGTCAAGAATGTAGTGCCATCCTTAAAAGAAATAATTTACCTTCAGGTACCTTTCGGTGCCTACATAGATAACTGCAGCACAACGGGCTTGAACTGTGTGGTATGTGGAGTGAGAATTTTTAATACTGGCATAGTCTTAAAAATTGAATATTATTTTTCCTTTTGCAAGTATGTATTTGTGTAAAGGGAGGAGAAATTTAAAACTCATTGGGCCCTTATGATGTGAGTGGAACTACTGGTCTAGTCAGATCCAAAAACCTGATCTCATTTCAGTCTCTGAAATGAGAAAGTTCATATTTGCTCCTTTCTTTGTTCGAAGTCTTGAATAAGCATTGCAGAAGTTCATGAAACACGGTAGTATTTTCTGTTTAAGTGTCAAAACTGTATGAACTTGTCTGCACACTGAAATATGAAGCAGTTACTATGTCAAGGTACTGTATGACCCTTCATAAATTCACCTGAAGGCATAGGTATCCCTACATTGCAGACAGATCCTGAACAGTAGGATTTGCAAGAAGTTGCACTGGTGTTTTAAAGTAGCTTTTAACTTGAAAAATTTCACTAGTATCTAGAAATTTTAGAGGAAATCTGCTTTTTATTTTTGAAAGGAATTAAAATGACACCTTATTTTTCATGCAGTTAAATCTGAGGCACTTTCGACGAGGAAGGAGAAGGTCAGGTGCTGTTGTAGCACATACTGGATATGCTCCACATCAGCAAGATCCACATGAAGTTCACAGGAGCATCCCTCCTCATGCAAATGCACTTTGTCACTTTCATATTGCTGCTAGTATCAATCCAGCCACAGGTAAGAAGTGCCCTAAATCCTTACTACCAGGTCAGTTACAGTTTGTGTTCAGTCAGTGTGGTCTGTGTAAGCTCAACTGGCTTAAAACAGTACTTCATGGAATTGTTTTGATTGGAAAAGATCAAGTCCAGTGGTAACTTTTGCGTGATTTACATGATCATGCAAAATTACAAGCATGTTTGTTTTATTCAGTGCATGAAAGAACCTTCTACAGTAATGAAATTATTTGAATGAATTTCCTCTACAGTAATGCTGTTTTCTGGGTTTCGTCATCTTTTAACTGAGATTCACAATGGTCTGGGATGGAGAAGGCTAAGTATTCATAACTGGAGTTACAAATTTACCAGGAATTGTGTATGGTACCAGAAGGACACTGCTAAATCAAAGATTTCCAAGCCTCTTAAAAATGAATACCTGACACTTAGGTGTCTGAAGTAAACACACATCCCTGTACTTCTGTTTTGTCTCTGAAACAAACAGAACATGCCTTCATCTTGTGTTCTATAAACTTCTATATTCTCTTGCACCCCAGCAACAGGTTGATAGGCATGAAGGAAAGTAGACTCATTTGCTAGTATTCCTGTCTTTGTGACTGTGCTGAAAAGGAGATGTGTTAGTTAGCTAGCCTTTTCTTCTGGCTAGCACGTAATCCTTTGCCTCTTCTTATATCTGCTCCTAGTGCACTTTTTTCTGTTTGTTTATACATAATACCTAACTAAGCTTCAATTTCACTTTTAGTAGTCTTTGCAATATACATGTGCCCAAAGGCAAACTCGCTGAATGGAAATAAAAATAATTTTGGAAAAGAACAGTAAAAGATTTTCCTAAGCGTCTCACACTTGTCATTGGCCTTTTAAATCTTGTATTGTTTGTGTGTCATCTGTATTAATATTATCTATCTTGATACTGTCTTTTGGATGACTTGGTCTTTAACTCAGTAGATACCAGGTCGTTCTTTAATGCAGAACCTCTGTTCAGGATCACTTAGATCTTAAATCTTAATTTGAAGAAATAGCTGTTCTCCCTTACAGTCAAGACCTTAAGTACCTCAGTCTAACCAGACTCTCTTAAGTAGTCCTTTTATTTTGCCCTTTTGAAATTAAATTTAATCTGAGAAATTAATTACATTTTCTTTCATTTAATTTAGACCAAGTTGGTTTATGATATCTCACTTGAAAATCTGCGTTCAGGGTACTTCATAAAAATTAAGGACAGAGCAGCTTAATTTTACATTAATTTTTTGAAGAAGAATAATGCTGTCACAGCTGAGAAAAAAATGTCTTTTTCTTTTTTATTATATTTGTGTTCTGTTGTTAATTTTGAAACTTGTTTTCTTACAACAGCAAAATCCTTGAGACCTTCTTTTATGGTACAGTGTTAAACTGGTGATCAGCCTGGGTCAAGCTGAGTGAAAGGAATAAGCAGTGATTGTTAGGACAAGTTTATCTCTTGGCAAACCCAGAAAAAGTTACTGAATCTAAAGACCTTTAGAAGTTTTCTCAAAAGAATGAATGTGATTTATGAAGCAAATGGAAATTCATTAAGGATTTTGTCCAGAGCTAGAGTGTCACTTAGAAGTTGGTAGTTTTGAGGTAGGACGATGGGAAAATAAGTGATTTCTGTACCTGTCTTCTGATGAATACTCAAAGTACACAGATTTATATTCTAATTGAAAAGTTATCTTTGTACTTTACCTTCTTAATCATGTTTACTATACCTTCATCTTGCAAAGGGGGATCAACAAAATTTTTCCCTCTAAATTCTGTTTTTGCTGAAAGCATTTTAATATTTTGAGAATGACATTAATTGGCCTTTTTAGGAAGAGAGACTGTATTTTTTAAAATACTTTATGGGCCTCTTGCCCCCTTCGCCTGCTGTGTCCCCTCCCCACAACAAAATTGCTGGTAGTTCTGATGATCCTTTCTTCTGTGTGCTCTCAGCTGCCATTTTCTTAGGCAGGACTGCAGGGTAAGTAATTTAAAGCCGTAACTGACTTCAGAGGTAAAAAAAAAAAAAAAAAAAAAAAAAGGCCAGACTTGAAGTAAAAAGTACTTCATTTGTTTGGCCAGGGTGTGGAATTTAAGTAGTGCTAGATAAATAGGGAGGAGAAGGAGATGAGAGTGTATGTGGTGGGACTTAAATGCAGGTTAAGCATTTAGCATGTTTTTGTATGGCTCATTTGAAGAAATAGCAATAAATCATCTAGCTGCTTTTCAGCCGTACAGTTTAGATGATGTTGTTCTGCAGCATCTGTCACTTACTTTATGATTACTCCTTTGTTTTTCATAGCGACCTGACTCACAGAATGGCTTAGGTTGGAAGGAACCCTAGAGATGGTATAATCAAACCCCCCTGCTATAGGCCTCCTGACTAAACTAGGTTGCTCAAGGCCTCATCCAACTTGGCCTGGAACACCTCCAGGACGGAGGCATCCACAACCTCTCTGGGTGTGGGAGGTGATAAATTAGAGTTCATCTATTTATTATCAATCTGATTCAGAGTCTTGCTACCCTCATACCGAAGAACTTCTTCCTAAAATCGAGTCTACACCTACTCTCCTTCAGTTTAAAACCATTTCTCCTTGTCCTGTTGCTGCACACTTCTGAAAAGTCCTTCCCCAGCCTTCCTGTAGGTTCCCTTCAGGAATTGGAAAGTAGTTTATAAGATCCCCCCTGTAGTCATCAAGTGGTACCACAGGCCAATGTAAAATACTAAGGGAATCTACAGGAATCAGGAAATCTAGCTTTATGTGGTGATGTTACAGGACATCATCAAATCACTATACTAGTTCTTGCTAGTGTAAGACCTGTCAGATGTGGTCCTTGATTACAGTGTTGACCTACTGCAGACTCCATTGTAGACTAATTTTTGGGAAATTACGCTTAAATTATTTGGTTCATATTGAGCTGTATTAGCAAAAGTCAAGGTAAATTTACCTGTACAGATAGTGTTGGATCACAAAAATGTAATGATGCAGGGCCATTTTAATCCTATTGTAAGCATACTGTAGAGCTTCTCTGTGGAACAACTCTTGTGGTAGCAGTCAAGCAATTTAAAACTGAAAGTAGGTGGTGTTGGTGAAAGGGATGACAAGTGGGAATACACTTAGTGTATTTTCTTTATGATAGCGTTTTTCACTAAATGTTTGTTGGGTTTTTTTTTTGACCACACTGCTTGTTTTCAAAAACATTGACATCTCTTTCTGGTAGATATTCCTCTACTCCCTTCTATCACGTCTCTGAGTCTTGGTGACAGTGAAGAAAAAAGTGGACCATTTGTTGTGCACTGGCTGAACAATAAAGAACTTCATTTTACCTTGTCCATGGAAGTGTTTTTGCAGCAACTTAAAAAGAGTTTTGAACATCATTCTCCCGAGACTAACACTGAGGAATCTAATCAAATGGATGGCAGATCAGAAGAAGGTGAAAGTTTTATCATAGATAAATGGCTTTCATTTTGCTAAGTAATCTGTAATGCTCTTCCAGTGAATTAAGAGGCGGGCAACTTGACATACAAGGATTTGGACAGACTACGGTACCATTGCTCTGCATTTCCTTCCTGTACACTGCCAGTATTTAAGTGACATAAAAATCTGCATCTACACATTCTGAATTTGTTTATGGTTGTTCCAGAGATTGTGAGTGACTTATGCCAAAAACTGCACTAGTTACTTAGGCTGACCTTGAAAGGGCCTGTGCATGAAAATATATTATCTTAACATTTTTAAGAAAGCAGGTGCAATCTTAGAATTAACTTTCTTTTCTTAATATTAATGTACACCTAATTTGCATAGCTTAATTTTATAACATATAGTAAATTAATCTAAATATATACAGTTTGGGGCTGCCTACTTTAGTTCTGCCTATGCATGCAAAAGTTCATATAAAATGGGCAAAATAAAAGTATTTCAAATTAAGGTGCAATTCAAACTATTTTGCTTTGTTAGCCATTGACTGAGGTCCACTAGTGGCCTTCTGGTTACAACTTTCATTATTTTAAATGTATGCTTATGAGAGAGGCTTATAAAAGGCCTGAAAGTGCTCCAATGCACTTGAATAACAGTCATGTGAATGAATAACACTGCTTGCTATACTTCTTTTGAATATTTATATATGTATATTTGTGTGTGTGTATGTATTTCAGAAGCTGATGAAAATGGAGATGAACAGAAAGGAAATCAAGAGAAGAAGGAACTGGGTGAGGAGAAAACTACTCCAAATTCAGGCTTTGTTCCATTATCTTCTGCTATTATTGATCATGAAATTGAAGTACGCCTTTCTGAATGGAGTAAAAATGCTGACATGCTATTCAGTATACATCCTGTGGATGGCTCACTGCTGGTGTGGCATGTGGACTGGCTAGATGAATACCAGCCTGGCATGTTTCGCCAGGTGCAGGTACTTTATTTTTTCTGGATTATGCATGCTTCTGTTCAGTGAGAGGTATGATGAGAAAATAACTTTAATGCTTATTCTTTTTCCCTTCCTTAAAATTCCAGGTGTCATTTGTCTCAAGAATTCCTGTTGCATTTCCGACGGGTGATGCAAACTCTCTTTGCAGAAGTATAGTGATGTATGCTTGTACTAAAAATGTTGACTTAGCTATTCAACAAGGCAAACAAAAGCCTCCCGGCCTCACACGATCTTCATCTATGCTTATCTCTTCTGGACACAGTAAATCAACCAACAGTTTAAAACTAAGTATCTTCACACCTAATGTTATGATGATTTCCAAACATGCAGATGGTTCTTTGAACCAGTGGCTAGTGAGTTTTGCTGAGGAATCTGCTTTTTCAACTGTACTCAGTATTTCACATAAATCCCGATACTGTGGTCACCGTTTTCATCTCAATGACTTGGCTTGCCACTCAGTATTACCACTGCTGCTTACAACTTCACACCACAACGCTCTAATTTCACCAGATGTTGAGAACGTAAAACAGGCAAATGATTCCTTAAAGTCTCAGGAGTCACCAGTAAGACTTCAGAGTAGAGGGAATGCAAATGTAACATCCCAGGATCCCAGTGCGGTTTACAGTGAGCTTATTCTTTGGAGAGTTGACCCTGTTGGGCCGTTGTCCTTTTCTGGTGGAGTTTCTGAACTTGCTCGGATCAATTCTCTCCACATTTCAGCTTTTTCTAATGTTGCATGGCTGCCCACACTCATACCCAGCTATTGCCTTGGTGAGTTTTGTTTCCCAATTTGTCAGTGTGTTCTAGAATATAAGTAATATAACCTAACAGTGCTATTAAATACATAATGTAGATATACTTGAATGCACTGGGAAAAAATGTTAAGCGTGGGTCCTTTATTTCACAAATTTCCAGGCTGCTAATACTTGGAAATTGTTTATTCCTGCGTGAAGAACTGTTGTGTTCTTTTGCCATTTTTTACGTATTTGATATTTTAGAAGCTAATGCAGTGAAATTCTTAGATGCTAGTGCATACTTCAGAGTGTGCTGAACACTTAAAAGCAGAGGTAAATTTTGCTCTGTTCTGTGAGTGGGATTCTCATTTCTTTTCATATACTTCGATTTGATTGTCGAGTATAGCATTAAAGTTTGTCATTCTTGCTTGTGAACAGAAATTGACAAGAGAGATTTTTTCTTATGCTTTATTTTTTTCTTCCATAGCTTTGAAGTTGCCTTTTGCCAAAGAACAAATTGGTGTTTGAATATTTGTGCCCTTTTTGTGTTCTTATTTTTCAGGTGCGTACTGTAATTCTCCAAGTGCCTGCTTTGTGGCTAGTGATGGACAGCATTTGAGATTATATCAAGCTGTAATAGATGCTAAGAAACTTCTGTGTGAGCTCTCCAATCCAGAGATTTCTGTAAGTGAAAAGTTTTCTCAAGTTCGTGGAAGCTGCAGCTTCGTTCGGTAGCTCGAATTTCAGACTTACTGGTAGCTGATGTAAGCTGGTTGCTGAGGATTTCACAGATTATGGTAGTTTAGCTCTGCTTTTAAAACCAGATAACGCTAAAGCTTTTTAGCGTTGTACCCACGCTGCATTCCGTTTAGTCTCAAACTCTGCATATTGAAGCAAGTCAGTATTTGGTTGGGAAGTACCTCTGAAACACTTTACACTGCAAGGAATAATAACAGAGCAGCAGCAAATTGTGTGCGTGCATTGTCCATCCTAGGGAAAAGCTGAGATGAGAATGCAACTTGGGCAAAAGATAAAGTGCTGAATGAGAGGCTTTCCAGGTGTTCTCATCACCGTTCAGCCTTTGAAAACAATGGGTCTCCTGATAGAACTGGGAATGTTACCTGTGTTCTTGGTGAACTGAAACCAGTGTATATTTAGTGTTCGTTAACTTCTGCTTAGTGATGTTGCATCTATGTAGCAGGCTGTGCCACAGAAATGCACAAAACTGACTTAACAACACCCTCCCCCTGACTTTTTGGACAGAAATATGTTGGAGAAGTTTTTAACATCATAAGTCAGCAATCTACGGCTCGCCCAGGATGCATCATTGAACTGGATGCTATCACAGAGCTTGTAAGGTCTTTTTCTGTACTCGTTTTATACCATAATTTTTTTTAAAAAGTGTTAATAATAAAAAGCTATATCTGCAGCAACCCACTGGGTGAAGATGTGGTATTTGAAGATCAATTCAGACATGTACTTGCTTTTGGTTTCATAAATACTTGTTAATGAAAAGAATGTGGGTAGTGAAGGTGGATTTCTTGAGAAATCTTTCACTGATATGTATAGCTTAGCAAGCTAAAAGCTCCCACATTAGAGAACAGTCATTAACAGTACACTCCATGATGTTCACTTCTTGTGTGTATTTTTACTTTTTTAGCATGGCAGGAAAATGCAGTTATTACATGTTTTTCAAGAAGACTTCATTTTAAATAACCAGGAGAAGGAAATATCTGCAAAGAAGAGCAATTTATCAGACTCTGGTAAAGAATTATTTTTCATAAAACACTGAAGACAAATACTGTGTTTTTCACTTAACAGAGGAAAAGGAACTTGTTACAGAGCTATGAGCATTTTCAGGTCAAATACCTGACTTTGAGGTCTTTATATACAAGAAGAAAATACAGTCTAATGAAACTCATGGGTGTTTCACTTCTTTCAAGAGTTGTGTGCAACTAAATTTTAGATAAAGTAGCGTAAAACATGAGATACCCATCATGTGCTGTATTAAGCCATTGCTGATACCTTTCGTATGTGAGAGGGAAAGGCTTTTAATTGTAGAGCCTGTAGCTGTAGGGTGTCACATACACAAAGCTTTTATTGTGTTGGGTTTTGATGGATATTCAACCTTTCCATCAGCTAAATACTTCTCCTCAGGCCTTGTGTAGTATAATAAAGGGCAGGCCAAACAAATCCCATGAAATAGAACTATAAAATACAATACTACGAGTAATGTGTGGATGTGTAGGTCTTAGGACAGACCTGAATTGCTCTGGAATAAATAATCAGTTTTTCCTGGTGGAGCAGGCATCTCAACTTCGTTTGGTTCTGTTCCAATGAAATAATGTGGGAAAAAAAAAAATTGTTAGAGTAAGGTTTATGATACCAAGCAGTCTGCAGTAATAAAGGGAATGCTTAATAAAAGAAAGCGAAGCTGTGGGACAATGCCAAAATGTAGCATAATAACTTGGTACACAAAATCCATTTTTCTTAGAAAAAAGGGAGATAGCTAGGGAAATATTACCTGAACTACAAATACCTAGTGTTGAGTTCTGAATTAAGCTGTATCTAGTCAAGACAGAGATTGTGAGTAACACAGGTAATCTATAAACACATCAACCCTGCTCTCAGTAGAGGTAAAAAAAACTCAAATGGAATGTTGAAAATTAGGAAGAAAATAGAGAACAAAAAGAAGTGATACTCTACAGCATGAATTTGTATGTTTGGACCTTGAGTATGATATACAGAAAAGACTATATGGATTGCTGCTGTGTAAGAAGTTGGGCTAAATGGACCCTTTGAAAAACTGTAAACTAGAAGTGTATTACTTACATACATTCTAATTTGAAAGTATTTCTAGTACCTTAAAGCCTTTTAATTTTAAAAACACACACTATTTTCTCTTTAATAAGGTGTTTAAGTATTTAGTTCATGCTGTTTTTTAAAAAAAAGAATAAATACACTTGCATTCTCCTACCATACCATAAGCAACTCAGTGTCAAACCCACAGAGCAAATACAGCTTATTCTTGTTCGTATTTTATATGAATGCACACCTAAAAAAGGGTCAGAGGAATCGTGGATGAAAGATGGTCACTAAACTAATCATACCTTTGTTGTGCTAATAGGTTTACTTTAGTGCAAAGAAATGAGAGTGGCTGGGTGCACCCTCCAGAAATGGCATCCTACTGATAGTATAACTCATGGCATCTTTTCTCAGGGTGAAACTATAGGAAATAATTTCTTAGGAAGAAACATTGTACCTCTTGTGTGTCACAGACTTTATAGTTGGTCTGACTGGGTTGTGATTGGTGCGCCTGTCTGTAGGACCAGGCTGTGAATTTATGAGTTATTCCTGGCATTTCTTCTCCAGATGCAACATGCATTTTATTTTTTTTTATTATATGCTAAAGGCCAAACCTCTGTCTAGTTCACTATCTTAACTGTTACAGTTGCCAGTAACAGATAGCTGAGACTGTAAGAGACAGGCATGCAAAAGACAAAGGTGTGGAGCTGAGAGTACGTGCTGGCATTTAACTATAAACACAAGAAAATTCAGGCAAATATGTTGTCCTCTCTAAAAGAAAACATTGACAGTTCTTCATGTGTTTACCTGTAACTGTAGTGCTTTTTGCTTGTGATAGAACACTGGGAAAACTAAGAAGAGTTGGATGTAGACAAATCATTGTGTTTCACTATTAGTTTGTGACAGCTTAACGTAATTATTTGTTAGCCAGCAAAATTTAGTTCTGCTTTCAGGTGAATAACCCCTAAGATCTTCCTGTTCTGCATTTCAACAGGAAATCAGCAGAATGGATTCTCTGAAAAATTCTACTTAATTTTAATAGAGAATAGCCAAAACCAGTCATTACTGCATATGTGGCATTTACATTTGAAGTCAATTCCTGTCTCAGTAGGTAAGCCCTCTTTCTTATAGTTTTCTGTTTAATAAGATGTCACTGTCTTGTGAACGTCTGTTGTTCGGCATGTTATAATTGTACTTCAGCTTTTTGAAAAGAATCTGCAGTTTGTTGATTACAAGCTTTCATCACAACCCATTCTTTCTTGATTACTTCTTCATCTTCAGAATACTGAAGCTTTTGAGTTCAGGTGCAGCCCAAAGTTTGTGTATTCTAAGGGCAAATAGATTTATCCAGTTTTAATGCAGCTTAACAGTTCAGATGTTTTGCTTCTCTGAATTTTTTTCTTCTGCAATTCTTGAGTTTATTAATAAATTGTAATTTGTACCGTAGCCTGAAGCACATAAACGTCAGAGGTACAATTACAATTATGAACAATTTTGAAGTTTTGAAATCTGCTGGTTCTCTTTAAGGCTACCAAACTACTACAAAAACTATAAAACTTAAAGTAAGCTAAGATATACTTCAGTAGTTTTTTTGTTGACATGAATAATTTTAAGAAAACGTAAGTCTGCAGTCTACCACATACCGGAGGAATCTGTTATGATGCAGGGGTTTGTCAGTTAAAACAACTTACTGGTCTTATTGTTGCTTTCAGATGCAGAATTTCTTTAGTTATTTTAAGTATTACTGCCATTAGTTTGTAAGTTGGTGAGAAGGTTAAGATCCAAATTTTCTGATGTACTTAAATGATGAGGACTTACTGATCAGACTTTTCAACCAAACCATCTGCAGTTTTTCTGTTGCAAATCCATCAAATTCACACTTTGATGGCTGTGTCCTATTCAAAAAGGAAAGAAAAAGTAAACATTTCTATCACATAATCTCGGAGCTCCTACTTTTTAAGCAAACATTAACAAAACTGTTCTGAAAAATGTCTTTCCCCAGTTTTTAAGACAGGGAGGTCTTCATCTAATTTTCTCTGGCTGAAGGTATTTTATGGTTCATGATGCATCAATTTTTGTGGATAACTATGTACAGACCTCTCTTGACTGCAGTTTTGGTGTTTGTGGTTGGAGTTTGGTTAAGTATGAAGAGTTTAAAGCTATAACTTCATGGCAGTTCTAAAATTTCAGAAGTATTTAATCTGTAGTGTGCTAGCATTTCTCTTTACTTTCAAACGTGGGAGTGCATTTCGTTAGAATGAAAGTAGAATTTTAAGTCATGTTTTATCTGCCTTTATGGAACTTTGTAAGTAAAATAAAAAAAAGAAAGTAAATTTACTTCTGAGCTTAAAATAAATAATTGAATTTTTAAAATTAACAGTGCAAAAATTTTTTTTAGATGAAAAGATAGATTCAAATACCCCTGAAACAGCAACACAAACAGAAGAGCTGTATTCTTCACCAGATCCGGAGAAGATCCAGTCACCTTTCACTCAGAAGTATCAAGCCTGCAAAGCAAACCTTCAGAGCACCAGCTGGCTTACTCTCTCTTCCAAAGTGGTGTACAGTCAAGAGCTGAATTTGCCAGAAGGAGTAGAGATAATAAGCGTAAAGCCATCGGCAGGTTTGGGGTTTTGGTATTTTTTTTTTAAAGAATAATGAATCCTTGCCTTTGACTCTGGTCTTAAAATAGAAACAAGTAATAGTTAAGTTTCACATTTGTTGTTAAAATTAAAACACCTGTAGGTATATTAAATCATTTGCTAAAATTTCCTCCTCTGACTTTACATCTCAATCCCAGAACTAATACTAAATAAGGCTTTTATTTAAGGTGTAATATTGATTGAATTCCAGACTCTTGCAATAAAACCAAGTACAGAAACACAGGTTTGGTTTTGTGGTTATTAATAATTATTTTTGGTAGGATTTAAACTTAAATTTTAAGGCATCTATTAGTAGTCTTTCAAAAAATGTTTCATAGAGAAGTTTAGATTGGAGGGCAATTTTTTTTATTAGAGAGATATAGATATTAATATTTAGCTTAAAATCATAATTTGATTAATCTTTAGAGCATGAAATGTAAACAGGGTAACAGTTTTATAGTATTTTTGTCAGTCTCCTTTGTGAGGCTTTGCAAACAACGATCTCAGTGAGGAAGTGCTATTTTTTTTTTTTCCTATCCTGATAAAAAATTTTACTTTTTATCTTGTGGATTTTTTTAAAAATATTTCCTCCACTAAATGTGTATTTTATTTAATTTTAGGACATCTGAGTTCCTCTTCCATATATCCTGTTTGTCGTGCACCATACCTGCTGGCTACCTCATGCTCTGATGGAAAAGTTCGATTCTGGAGATGCAGAGTTGCCACTGAACCATCAGCTTCTTCCACGCCAGAGTGTAGTGCACTTAGTGATGTTACATATGTATGGGAAGAATGGCCATTACTGATTGAGGATGGACTTCTTAGTAGTAGTGCTATTAATGTTCCAGGAAGGCCAACGGAAGTTAGCTGTGCACACACAAACAGGTTAGCAGTAGCATACAAGCAGATGGCATCTAAAAATAGTAATCTTTCTCAAGATTTTCTAATGCATGTTAGTATTTTTGAATGTGAGTCTACAGGGGGTTCTTCTTGGATTCTGGAACAGACTCTTCATTTAGATGAGATAGGCACTGTGTCAGACTCTGGTGTTAGTATTGATAGTGGTTTAGTGGCATGCAACCAACAAGACATTTCCCATGGTGGGAATGTTATGCATAGCACTAAGCACTTGGTACACTTAGACTGGATGTCTAGGGAAGATGGGTCACATATTCTGACAGTGGGAATTGGATCAAAACTCTATATGTTTGGTCAGCTGTCTGGGAAGGTGCAAGAACAAAATGGTAAGGAGATTGTAGCAATCTCCCACAGTGGCAGCACGAAGGCTACAGCCCTTTCTAGGTTTGTTCTACTGCGTTGTCTTGACCTGGTTTCATCTGTAGAGGGGTCACCACCTTTCCCAGTCTCATTGTCTTGGGTGCGTGATGGCATTCTTGTAGTTGGAATGGACTGTGAAATGCATGTTTATTCCCAGTGGCAATCTCCTTCCAAGCAGGAACTAGTTGGTACAGATTCCTACAGCGGCAGTATACCATGTACAACTAGCTTAATGAAACAAAGCCAGTCAGCTGCCTCAGGTCTGCATCCACCAAAGCGAACCTTGACCAGATCTATGACCAGCCTTGCACAGAAACTCAGTGGGAAAAGATCTGCCTATGATCTGTCTACAGAAATGGAAGATTCTGGTCTTTTTGAAGCAGCTCATACATTGTCTCCCACTTTACCTCAGTACCATCCATATCAACTGTTGGAACTCATGGATCTTGGTAAAGTACGTAGAGCGAAAGCCATTCTGTCCCATCTGGTGAAGTGCATTGCTGGAGAAGTTGTTGCTGTAAATGAATCTGAACCTAATCATGATAAGAGGCTCAGATCTCTGACCATCAGTGCTAGTGGAAGTACTACAAGAGATCCCAAAACATTCAGCAAAACTGAGACTACAGACTACGTTGAAATAGACTCTGTTCCACCATTACCTTTGTATGCTCTGCTTGCTGCGGATGACGATTCATCTCATTCCTGTTCAGAGAAGTCTAATCAAAATAGTAAAAACAAAAAAGATATGCCCGGTGACAATTATGAAGATCTCTTTCAAAATACTGTTATAAGTACAGATGAATTTGTTACATTTGATGCAGATGAAGACAGTTTGAAACCTAAAGTCATTGATCTTTCTCAGTATAGCCCAACTTACTTTGGACCAGAGCATGCTCAAGTTCTTTCTCGTCACTTGCTTCATTCAAGCTTGCCAGGTCTGACTAGGATGGAGCAGATGTCATTGATGGCGTTGGCAGATACAATTGCTACTACCAGTACTGACATTGGAGAAAGCAGAGACAGAAACCAGGGTAAGCCACCTTTTCCAAGTTAAATGTACCGCTGTGCTTCGCAACCTTTTTAGGAAGTCTTTCCTATTCTGGAATACTTTTGTGGCTTAAGAAAGCACATATTGTGTTTCATTGCATAGCCTGTATTATTTACTGTGCCATCACAGTATTTATTGTTTAACTAAAGTTTCAAGACTTAAGACTTTCATGAAATCAAAGTTTGTGTTGGTAATTTTGTGTCAGTGTGAGTCCGTCAGTCCACATACCATAATTGTTTCCAGTTCACTTTTGAATAGACAACTTTATTAATGGCTAATATTTGCTTTATGTAGAGAAATTGAGAAAGAAGTTTATGGATGATTTTTATGATAACTGTTTCTTGCATTAAGATCAAATAACTTCAAACCTTTTTATATTTGAAGTTTTTTTTTCCCTTTCTTTGAAGGGAAGAACTATGAATTAAGCTATTATATTTATGAATTTAACTCAACGGTAGTCACAGAATTGTAAAGGTTTTTTTTTTCCCTGAGACACCCAATAGCTACTTCTAGTGGTTTCTCTAAGGTACATATAAAAATATTTAATTCCAGGTGGAGAAACACTTGATGAATGTGGTCTAAAATTCTTATTGGCTGTTCGGCTTCACACATTTCTAACAACTTCACTTCCTCCTGTACACCGAGCTCAGCTGCTTCACCAGGGTAAGTGTTGTGTTTCCTTAGATGATATGAGTCTTAGTGGTGTCGCTGTACATTTGGTTACTGTGCTGTTGATATGCCTTTGCAGAATCAATCCCTTTTTTTTTTTAAATAGTTGTTCACTTTGAATGTGTACTGGAGCAGAAAATGTTTGTTTTGGTAGAGATCTTGGAACTGAAGTAGCTTCCCATCGCCAATGCCACCAATTTTTACTTTTAATTTTTTTTTTCTATTTCCCCAAAAGAACTGGCTTTCCTGTACTTCTAGTACCATGTTGTTCCAGTAGCCTTTTGCAGTAATAATGCACTACATATTTACTTAGCTTTTTAGTACATATTTGGGAGAAAATCTCTCACAGTCTACTCAGACTTTAAATATTTTTCCATATGCTTACTGTAATTACCCAGTGGACTCTTTCAGGGTTTTTTTTTGTGTAGTTTTAAGTAGTTCCAACCTGATATTGCAGATAACAGAATAAGATGGATTTTATGCAGCCTAATCAAATCTAAAGGACTGGCTGTGATTGCTTCTTTACCCTTTCATTAGCCATCATGAGAGTTGATGGTATTTCCAATCTCATGGCTTGTCACCCCTCAGCTGTATCAGAGATTGGAATTTGCCAGGGCTGCTGCCAACAGTGTACTATGGAGTTAGTTTTCTAATGAAATAGTTGAAATGCTTCTGCTGAGCTCAGAAATTGATGAGAGTAGGAGCTGCCTCTGAGGCATCTGCAGAGGTGCAGTTGAGTGTGCCTCTGTGCAAAGAAAGAAGCATCTCCCGGCCCTCACTAGAGTCAGAATTATCTATAGTCAGCTACGCTGCTGCTTACTATTTGCTATCTTCCCCGTGTGATTTTCTTTTTCTTCCAGTTTTCTTCTGTGTCTGCATCTTCAAACCTATTTTCTGCTGATTATCTGAAACTTCACGTTCTCTATTCCAAGTCAAAATAGTGAACCTACCTGTTGCACTTCATATCATGGTTAATTGTAATGCCACCCACTATAAGTGTATTTTGAGCTTCAGTCAGTAACTGTTTTTTGGCAACTATACATAAAGAGTTCTTCCCTTCAAAGATGAAAAAGTGTTCTCGTGTGTGAGCTTTCTTTAATATTTGGTATAGAGTCCTTACAAATATTCTCAGATTTCCGTTGCCTCCTCAGTAATGCACTTAAGTCCAAAATAAACATTTTGACCTTCTTCCTTTCTCCCATTCCTACTCTTGGACTTCAGATTCTGTATTATTTTATTAGTGATTCTTTGGTTTTTTAATGGCTTATTTTATAGGCTTATCTAGCAGTCATTTTGCCTGGGCATTTCATTCAGTAGCGGAAGAAGAACTGCTGAGCATGCTCCCTGCAGTGCAGAAAGGAGACCCAACATGGTCAGAACTCAGAGCTATGGGCGTAGGATGGTGGGTTCGAAACATCCATAGCCTACGGAAATGCATAGAAAAGGTAAATAGAATATTCTGACACAAAAATACCAAAAATTGTCAAGCCAGCTGTCCTCTGTTGTTTACTTTCTTATTTTACATGGTTTAAAATTTTTAGATATGCTCAGTGTTTCTCAATGCTTTGTGCTGTATTCTTTTGTACATACATTGTATGAGTGTGAACATATGTATTTAACTATTGTTTTTAGTACTTCAGGCTTTAAACTCCAGTGTGAAGTATATTTTTTGGCTTTTAGATACTTTGTTTTGAAAGTGACAGTGTACAGCACTTATTGTGGATGCTCAAGATACGAATTACCTTTTATAGCAAAGTTAGGAAAAAAGTTAGAGAAAAAGTTTCTCCACAGAAGCCTGTCAGAAGTACAATACCTTATTTGACCTCATATATGTCTTGCAAGTTGATATATTTCCGTTATACCAAAACATTCTATTGTGGTTTTTTTTGCCTTGCTTTTCTGTGTTTTGGGAATTTTTCTTTGAAATATGTATTTTATTCATCACCCATGTTGTAATAAACCTAACCTTATTCTTAGTTGCTTTTAACCTTTTGGAAAAGCCAAATGTGTTAAGACAGAAAATTACATGCGTAAGATACTTTGACTACAATCAAAATGCATGTGTCTACTTTTACTTTTCAATCTTCAGCAATTAATCATTGCTTCATGAAAATTACCTGCCTTGCATTCAAAATTTCCAAGTATTCTGGGCCTGCGTTTAAGGTTATGTTATATGGTTCTTGAACGGTTCTGGCTGCTACATAATCCTTTTTCCTTTCCAACCTCCAAAAGTGATCTCCAGTAAACTATTTTCCCTTGCTGTGACATGTCTCCTAGCCTGTTCTTCAAGAATCCATCTGTCCTTGGATTACCAGAGCAACTTATAAGTTAATATTGTTTTGATTTCAGGAACTGATTTCAGATAACAGGCTTTATCATTTGGTCTGCCAAAAAGCTTCTCTAACTGGGAAAGTGTTAGCTAAATGATACCATACACAAATGAGGGATTGAAGCAGTGGGTGCCTTCACACGTTCCTATGTCAGATTCTTAATGAGAAGAGAGAGTCTCTGTTAAAGAGAACTTCCACAAACCATGGGGCATGGGATACAGGAGGCAAGAAGAATAAGTTAGATTTTGGTTGGTGGTTTTTTTTTTTTTTTTTGGCTCTTGAACTGTCTCCACAGGTGGCTAAAGCAGCTTTTCATCGGAACAATGATCCACTTGATGCAGCTATTTTTTACCTTGCGATGAAGAAGAAGGCTGTGATCTGGGGATTATACAGGTAGGAGACATGCAGGCTTTTGCATGGAGTTTCATACTGTCTGGTATAATTTTGGGAAAAAAGTTGGATGTGATTGTAATCCAAAATAAGCACAAATATTACCACTGAAAGCTGGAATTTGATTTCTGAAGTAGTCACCACATTGAATATGGGTAGTTTTTACGCTTCTTCCATTTGCTGAGGTAACTTAGTTGCTGTTTCTGAAGGCAGATGCTTCACATTTTACTCTCAAATATAATGTAATTTCAGTCACTGCTTAATTCTGATTTACTTTTGAGGACTACCAGTGTAGTGTGTGAAATGACATGGTTGTCTTTCTGAAGACTGTCTTTAGTTACGGATTTTACCTTAAGTTCAGAGGACTGAGTTAAGTTTGTTCTTCCAAACTGGTGTTTCACAGTGTAATGTTACAATGTTTCACAATATAAAGTTTTTAAAAGTTGCAAACATTTTAAAAAGTAGTTTGCATTGTCCCTTACTCTTTAAGAGCACATCTGGGAAAAATGAGCTTTTCTGTATTTGTACAATGTTAACTGCAAATACCATCTGTAACCTTACTGTTAAACCAAATATTTAATACCAAGCACTTACTAAAGTTTTTCTGATTTTTAAATATGAAGCCTCCTGTGCTCCCAGGGTGGTGAGACCCTCTGTACTTTGTGGTGAAAAGATCTGCGTAAAGTTCTACTGCCTTCAGAGGAAATGAAGAGCTGTAATGCATCCAGTAAAGTGTATATAATACTTTTGTCGATTATGTTCAATGTGCAGGTCCCAAAAAGATACTAAAATGACCCAGTTTTTTGGAAACAACTTTACTGAGGATAGATGGCGTAAAGCAGCGTTAAAGAATGCTTTTTCTTTGCTTGGCAAGCAGCGCTTTGAACATTCTGCAGCATTTTTCCTGTTGGCAGGACACTTGAAAGATGCGGTGGAGGTAATAAACTTCTTCATGGTTAAGACTGTTGTACTGTCCCAAAACTACAAATATCTTGAATGTGACTTGCATTTTGTGTTCATATGATCCTCAAGGATTCTGGTTTGTTTGTGCTGTTACCCCTCTTGCCCACTAACCCACAGATTAATGTCAAACACAAATCTTTCATCTTTACACATGGATTCTGGTTTGGCTCTTGTGTTAGTGATACTGAAAGGTCCCATGGTTAATTTCTGTGTAATGGTGTGAAGAGACATACATAACCTTTAACTTGCTTTCAGATTGTCTGCTCTTTCATATACAAAGACAACATAGATTTTTCATGAGGAAAACAAAGACTTGTGGGCAATGATGTGGGTGGGATCCTGGAATGCCTTCACAAAAATTTTTCTGGGTCTATTTGATTTGAAAAGTTGTGTGGAAATGAATCCTGTTGATAATGAAGGATTTGTTCTGTAAAGCTCTGTAACCAAAGTATCCAGTGTGAAAAGGTGGCATGTGCACACTGACAATGATTTATTGAAGCCAACTGATTTCAAAAGTCTGTTCTCATGTCAGCCTTAAACTGAAGAAACTGCAAATCAGATCTTGCATATAATAGTGGGCCACAGCTATAATGCATAGTTTCTGTTAATTTGTTTAATTGATAGACTTAGTTACCTCAGTCTGAGCAGATGCATGACACTTGCTGTGCTGTGATCGTTTTAACCAGAGAAGAAATTCTAATGTTTGATCTTGTGAATGTTTATTTGTTTTTTTGTTTTGTTTTGTTTTGCTTTTTTTCCCAATTAGGTCTGCCTTGAAAAACTGAATGACATTCAGTTGGCTCTTGTAATATCAAGACTTTATGAGTCAGAGTTTGAAGTATCTAGTACTTACAAATCTGTTCTACAGAAGAGAATTTTGGGAAGTGTGTTTCCTGGAAAAGAGAGCTCAGGAAACATACACTGTGACCCTTTTCTGCGAAGTATGGCTTACTGGATTTTAGAAGATTATAGCAAGGCTCTTGACACTTTGATTAAACATTCTGTTGAAGATGAAGGAGGTAAGAATAAAAGTGTTTTGCCTGTTAGATTGGTTTTAAGTGTTCAACGTTTTGTTCATTTAAGCAGTAGTTTCTTGAAGCAAAGTCTAAACCAGACCAGGTACTGCACAGTTGTTCCCTTTTGTTAGTAAATGGCTTGATGTAGGACAGCACATGTGTTTTTCATGGTAAATGTGATGAGTGTGTTTTTGTGCTGTATCCCATAAATGGATACTTAATTTGTCCTTTAGTATGGGAGTATAAGGGTACGGCATATGACCCTCCAGTGATGCAGCTGTTACTCTGGCATCAGCTTAAAGATGAAGAAACAAATTAACTTAATTAGTTAATTTGACTCCATTACAACCTCAGAAAAAGTTTCTTATTGCATGATTGCATAGCAGAGTCTGGGAGACATGGTGTTTTGCAGCTTTAGTCCTTAGAAGAATGGTTTACCACAATTGGTAAAATGTCTTGGGAGAAAATATGATATTTACTGTGATACAAGGAGGCCTAAGTGGTACCTGAAATAACATGTGAGTCTCCTGAAGTTATTCTTTTCCCTGTTCACTTGCTAGCTTTGTAAGCACTGTGATAATCAATTGTATTATTTCCTAAAGTTAATGTCCTCAGGGAAATGATAAATTTTCAAGTCCCTAGTACTTAGTATGCTAGCTAGCTTCAGTCCTGGCTCCCGAGAGAAACTTGATGGGGTTAAATGAAGACTCAAATCCTCAGAGTTAAGTAATTAATTTTAAAAACTGATTTCAGTATAAGTTGCATGCCTCAAGGTAATTTTAAGCAAACGAGGGTTTGTGTTATTTCTGTGTTGGTCATATCCTCTTGTGTAAAATAATTTTTAAATTTTACTTATTCTTCTTTAATCAGTTCAGCTATTTTGTGGTGTTCTACTTTTATTTTCTTATTTAGAAGGTGCTCTTTCATGTACCTTTTCCTGTTATCTGTAATTAGTTGTGCCATAACTCCTGATAGAAGAAACGATCAAGCTGTGTCTCTTTAGCTAACCTGGACTCTTTGAAAGCTGTGTGAATCCTCCTGTGCTGGGTTTTTCATGTTGTGTGTGGTTTTGGACATGAAAATAAAGTGTCTATGTGCTTCACTGCTGTATAATTCATTTATTTGTATGTAATGCTGATATCAGTATGTATAAATGTAATGGATTTCCTAGCTGTATAAAGTTGCATTTTTGAAAACGTAGACAAAAAATAATCAAATTTTTCTTAAAGCCCTTTTTTTTAAAGCACAAGTCTTCAGTAAGATGTGACATCTTACTGTCATGTAGTGATGGATACTTCAGAAATCTAAACTGAACAGGAATGTGGTCTTATTTGACTTCGGCAAAACTGGCCTGACTGCAAGGAAAAGAAATAGCATACGTTTTGAATTAAAGCTGTCCTGCTCGTGCTGCACTTTTTAGTAGTGATTAGGTTTGGCAGCGTCCACCCTCCTAAAGTTATTCAAGTGGCAAAGGTGCAAAGGATGGTGCAAAGGGGGGTGCAATGAATTAATCAGCAGAGTGACTGTTAAGACCTGACAGCCTTCTGATGAACTTAGCGCTTCACAGATGGATTATTTCATACAGAATGGTAGATTTTCCTCATGATGCAATATCTTTTCAGATGAAGGAGATGGCTCATCGAGTTGTAACCCTGCAGTGTTTAACTTCTATAACTACTTAAGAACACATCCCCTCTTGTTGAGACGTCATTTTGGCTCTTCTGATACATCTTCCACACACATGTGCCTAACAGTAGAAAATGGATTAGCTGACAAAATCAACTTAAGCGAAAGACGGCTGTTTTTCACCACGGCATATGCTCATCTAAAAGCTGGTTGTCCTATGTTGGCCTTAGAAGTGTTATCAAAGATGCCCAAAGTTGTCAAGAGGTCAAAGTCATTTTGTAGATCCTCTAGTTTAATGGATACTAGTAAAGATTTCTCACCATCTTCTCCTGTTAAAGAGCTGGAAACAAAAGACCAGTCTTCCAGTATTGATTGGTCACAGCCAGTATGGAATGGGCTGGGTTCACCTTCAGATTGTTCATCAGGAAGACACTCAAGTTCGACTCTTTCCTTTGACTGGAGCCAGCCAAATGTGCTGTTCCAAGATGAACACTTGAAACTACAGTCAGACAGCGAAGAAAGCGACGTGAGTGAAGATTCTTCCCTGGTAATGAAAGAGCTAAAGCCTCCAAAGAAAAATGAAAAATTATATGAAACAAGTTATAGCTACACAGAATCTTCTAGTGTACTTGATGATAAAGATATTCTAACTCCATCAGAAGACATAATTTCAGCACAGCTGAAGTTTAGAGCATGCCTGAAAATTCTTACTGTAGAGCTTCGTACACTGTCCACTGGTTATGAAGTAGATGGTGGGAAGTTGAGATATCAGCTTTACCAGTGGCTTGAAAGGGAAGTGGTAGCTCTTCAAAAGACCTGTGATTATAGTGTTGAAGAGATGCAGTCAGGAATTTGTGTCATGCCAGAGGAAACTGCATTACATGAAAACACTGCAGACTTAGCTGACCAGCAAAAAAACTTTCAGAAAAGACGTCAGTGGCTGCTGAAATACCAGTCTCTCCTAAGAATGTTCCTTAGTTACTGTATACTTCATGGCTCTCATGGTGGAGGTTTGGCATCTGTCAGAATGGAATTAATTCTGCTGTTACAGGAATCTCAGCAGGTATGTGGGGGAGCTTATTTTGTATTTTCTCTGCATCAGGTTTGTTGTAGATTTTTTTTTTGGAATGTGTTTTGTGTTACTATTCAAGTTTTCCAGCTATAGCATACAGCTGTTTTATAATAAATGCAAAACTGTTTTATATGTGAAGTTTTCTGTAGTTTGGGGGATGGGCTGGGTGTTGTTTACAATCCCCTTCCCTCGTTCTAAAGTTCTGTTTCCTTTAGAAGGCTGTCCTTTCACTCTTTATGTGCGTTTCTTGCTTGTTTTCAGGAACAGTCAGTAGAGATGCCTTCCAGTCCTCTACCAGAGCAAAGCTCCATACCTCTCCTGTTTGCTTGCACAGCTAGTGCCAAAACAGTGGTGGCTAATCCACTGCTACATCTGGGTAACTTAACTCATGATATATTACATGCCATAATAAACCTCGATTCCCCACCTCATCCAGATGCTCAGAATAACAAGGTATGTATTTTTAATTGTTGTTTGGGTTTGTTGTTGTGAATGTCCAGTTTGCTGAAGTTATGAATCTTCTTCTGACAGCAGAAGAAATTTTTGCTGTGACTACCTGTGACAAGTAATAAGTCTATGGAACATAAATATTTTCTGTAGTACTTACCGTGAGCTAAAATGATGTCCACGGATTATTACTTACTCTTGAGATGCTGAGCATATTGTTGTACAAGCTGAAGTAGTTTGGCCTCTCTCAGGGCTAGGTATTTGTCTGAGATGACACCTCTTACAGAAAACGTGTTGTATGGCACTGTTGTTGTTACATTTGTCTTCATGGCAATATGTTCATTACTTCAGTTGTATTAATAGTAAACTCTGCATATGAGGCCTAAACCTAAGTAAAATGAAGTTTTCAATTACAAAAACTTGTCAGCATAGTGCAGTAAATGCAGACTTTTTTTGTGAAATAGTATATGTGTTCATATAGTAAAATATAGCTAGGGTTTTTTAAGTTATGTTTCTGTAATATTTCTTCTGTATCTAACCCTGGACTGGAAACCAAACTTGAAGTGCTAGGTTAAATCTTTCCTGAAGTTTGTACGTTACATCCCAAGTCATGTTTATGTTTACTAGGGAGTTCTAGCGAACACTCAAAAGAGATTGCTCAGCTCCTATTCTGTGCTTTGTTTCAGAGGGAACAGACAAATAAGTGAAACAAAATCTTTTTTTTTTAACTGAACCTTTTTGATCAACACATTCTCCGATTCTTTATGTAGGTGTGTTTTGTGATACATTAAGAAAAATATCAGCTGTGATAAAAACAGTGATCAGTGTGATACTGAGTAAATTATGTGTCTGAGAGCTGCACAAGAATTAGTCAAAAACTAAACCGCCTTATAATTTTTATTCCAAAGCAAAGCCTTTGTATTATGAGCCAGCATATTGCTACTGTATTACAGTATAATCACTTAGGATTGTTGTATAGAGATTTAATGTTTTCTTAATCAAAAACATTGCAGCTGATCTGTGATGGCAGTTGGTGGGGTCAGTGCTTCCCCATCCCTTTCATTGCAAAGTGAATTCAGTTATTTGAACTAAACTCTGAAGAGAAGGTGGCTCTGTACGTTTTTTCCATGAGTCCTTACACCTTCCCTATTCAGTGCTTGCTCTACTGTCTGTGTGAAAGGGTATGATACTAAGCATTATTCATCTTGAGTGTAATATGTTCTTTAAAACTTTGTCTTACAGATATATGTAATGCATACGTTAGCAGCATCACTCTCTGCTTGCATCTACCAATGTCTTTGTGATGGCCACAGCTACAGGTAAGGATCTATGAAATGTTCTTTTTAGAGAATGGTCAACACAGTCTGACTGCAGTGATGTGCTCTAGAAGGCAGTGCTCACACCTGCCTACATCTGGAAAGGGCTGTTACTTTATACCAGTTTCAAACATAACTTTTTTTTTTATAAATACGACATCCCACTTTTCTGTTTCACAGCTCATTTCAAGCAAATCAGTTCACTGGAACAGTCTATCAGACAGTGCTGTTAACTCAGCGCCATTCTCTACGAACAACAAGCTTAGAAGAAACAGTGACTCCAAATACATCACCTGCTCAGTGGCCAGGTATGTAGAGTTGATCTGTTTCTTTCCTCTTAAGGAAAACTTAATGGACTGTAACAGCATGTAGCTATACTGGGGACTTTTCTAGTAGTGTTTCTAACAGTTGTGATAAAAATAAGTTCTTATACTAAAATTCTATCTTTATTTTTCAAAAGCCTTAAGCTAGTCATTCTAGTTATCCACTAAGTCAAGTTAATTTATATTACTTTCTCTTCCTCAAAAATGTTCGTGAGGGCTCTAGTAAAGGGCAAGTAAACAGAATGTAGGGTGTTGTCCTGAGCTCTGCTTCCTCCCCCTGCAGGCAACAGATCAGTCTCACCATTATTCCACTTCGGTAATTTTGAAAAGAACTTGAAAGGCTGTCTTAGTTTGTGCTCCATCTCAGAGTGATGTAGCCTATGTACAGCTTTTGAACTAACGGGAAACCATTGGCAGTGAGAAGTTTGTAATTAATTATGGGGTTTTGTTGCTCTAAGACCCACATAGGACATCAGGTAATTTTTTTGATGTGTGCTGGGATCTATGGTAATGAAGCTATGCTGGCGACACTGGAGGGAGTGTAAGCTATGTAATAGAAGTCTGTATGGACTTCAGTTTATGGCACTGACTTCACTGCAAGCTTAATCAAGAGGTATGCTTTCATATTACGGGATCTATGTTTTCAGTGAGAAAATTTCACATTAAAAACTTTTGGAGAGCCTTGAACAGTCTGTATTGGATGCTATACTGTCTTTTATTTTCTGCAACATTCGGTCTCTGAATCCAGAGATTTTAGAGAGAAATCAGACTTTGCTTTGCTTTGTCCTTGTTTTATTAGTTGCTGAGTTAATTTCTAATGAACAAGACAAGGGATTGTTAGCTGTTGTTTTTATAGGTAATATCACTTTGAACTGATTTCACTTTTTGTTTTAATAGCTTCACATGCTTTACGTGTAAACGGGGAAAGCATGACACAAAGCAGAATCCTTTGGCCTCTGCTGCTTGTATTTCACTTACGTGCACATAGTGACCGTTGTAGCCACATTCAAAACTGCAACTTTTCATGGGAGCTTAAAAACACTACAAGATGTTTAGTATTTGGGTCAAAGAAAAATTGTCAGACAATGAATAATTCAAGTTGATGCCCATGATTTTTGGTTGTTTTTACCACTGTAAAGTGCGAACATAGCATTCAACTCAGTGTTATTCAGGAATTACAAACATAACTGGTGAAACAAGTACAACAAGGAAGTCAATGAGCATATTAGTATTTTTATTTTAAATATGACATTTGGATGCTATGTATTGAATATGCACTATATGAGTATTCATACGTATATGAATATATGTTGAATAGACACTGGAGAATAAAGGGCTAATCCTTTGCTGAAAGTATTGAGGAGCCAGAAAAGAGAGCTTGAGACAAGGGGGGGAAGAAGCATTTATGTAACTAAATGTTGTATCATAGCGTTTCAGTACGAATCAAACGTTTCAGTATGAATCAAACGAATCAGTGTTTCAGTTGAATCAAAGCTGCCAGTGTTTCACTTAAAATGTATCCCATGAAGCTGAAAAGCTGTAACAAACTGTTAAAAATCAGTAGTGTGGCCTTTTCTCTTGTAATTTTCAATTTCCTGTAAAACTTTGAATTTTTCTACAGTACAAGATACTAAATAACATAGGTTGCCAGTCAAAATACCCATCATACATACTTTTTCTGGTTCTTTTTTTCCCAAACAGGAATAAGAGCTCTAATACATCTTTTGAATTCTGCTGGTGAGGAAGCCCAGCCAGGTCTCACAGTTTTACTTTGTGAAATTCTAACTGCAGTCTATCTGAGTCTGTTCATCCATGGCCTGGCAACACATTCTAGCAATGAGTTGTATAGAATTATGGCTCATCCACTTAACAACAAAATGTGGTCTGCTGTCTTTGGAGGAGGAGCTCATATGCCCAGTGGAGGACAACAGCAATTAAAGGCAAAAACTGGTTAGTTCTATTGTTCTACGTATGTTTCCTGGGATTTTTAAGAAGGTGGTGTGAATGCTGAAAGCTTGAGAATAATTGCTTTAAATATCCATGTTCTGTAAGAATTCAGTATGGTTTTACATCTGCAAAGAAAAACCAGGCTCTAAAATTATTGGCATAGATAATGTAGAAGAGAGTAGGAGGCAGAAATGAATGTTTCTGAAATAAGGTTTCCAAGCAGCACAACTGCTGTAATGTTGAGGGGTGAATGTTCATCCAAAGGAGAAACTTTCCAGTACTGTTATGGCCTAGTTTTTAATACTAATTTTAAAGCTTTCCAGGCTTGCGTAAAAGGAATATATTCCCATTTTACAAATACAGTATGTTTTCTCTCTTTGGCAGGTAGGCACTTCCCAATGCCTAGCCCACATCAGGTAGTAGTGTTCTCCATGGAATGCGTGGGGTTTTCCAAATCCCTTACAGCCTTCAGTACTCATAGTCCTGCCAAATATTCAGGCAAGATACTAGATTTAGTACTGGGCCTCTACATGCAGTTTGCTATGTGTGATTTTTTTTTTTTTTTTTTTTTTTTTTTGCATATGCAGAAAGACAGAAAAACTTCTGCTTGCAAGCCATGACATCAAAATCTAAAGCAAAGTTTTGTATTTAAAACAGCTGTTGAATTTGGCCTTTTTAAAAAAATAAATTGGCAGTGCTACTGTATTCTTACTGCACTTCATTTGAAATCAATGTTAAATATAAAATTACTTTGACCATGGTTTGAAAGGATCAGAAGTGTTTCATATCTTTGTTGGAGACCTGCTTGTTTTGCTTTTTGAATATAAGCATTACTATGCATGTGCATTTTTAAGTGTTCATTCTAGACATTACAAAGAAAAGATGTCTTTTTGATATTTGATTTTGATAGTCTGAGAACCCTTTAGGAAAGCAAACAACTTTAATATTTTAAATCCAGGTGATTATGAATTATTCAGAGGTCCAGAATTAATTCTGTAATGCTTTTCTTTTCAGTACAGATGTGTGCTTTGATTTAATTGGATTTCTATAAAACCAAGGACAACAATCTTACAAACAATCAAATTTTTAAAAGGAAGATTTTGTAAAGATAAACCTAGTTAAATTATGGTGACTTTGTACATCACATCTGACTCTTTCTATGTAAAAAATGTAATTAGACTATATATGTTTATTATTATATTGTATTATTGATATTAGATGTATGTTACATATAAAAATGTCTTACTTTATGTTTAAATATAGGCTATTTTAGTGCAGACTTTGTCAGCCATCTAGAAAAGTATTTTCAGAGCAGAGATCAAAATCAAAAGTGAGTTCTTATTCTAGATCTGATCAGTTTTCTCTATGGTTTTGAGTAAATGTTTCTCATCTTTTTGTTAAGAAAAAAATATTTACTGTATCAGGATTGTTGGAAGATATAAGTGGCTTTTGTAGGCAATTCTGAGTTTCTTAGGTGTTGGTAACTGTATACTGAGGTGTGTTAATGCTGCTGCTACTACTGTATTAAAATAAGAATTGTTTTTACATAGAAATGTATTCTGACGTGTATGAAATGTCTTAAAAATGAATGCTGACTGATTGCAGAATTAGTAAAACTAATTGCTAGTTGCTGGAAGAATGAAGAAGCTGAAAAAATTTAAGGGAAGAAAGGAAGAACTGAAAATCTAAGGGAAGAAGGGGCCTTTTGAAATATTTATAAGGATAATCCGACTTCGAAAAAGGGGCTAGAGGGGTTGTGGACTCTCCAACTTTGGAGTTGTTCAAACTTGGAAAAAACTAGACCATCGTGCTGTTCTGAGCAAGGGCTGGACCAAGTCTCTTCAAATCTACACAGGTTTCTGGACATCTGTTATTTTTAATGTGTGTTTTTACAGCACAAATTCAGAGGAGAGAATTTCACAGAAACATCTTTCTCTGTCACTTTAAATTGTATTTTAAAAAAAAAAAAGGGAGTGGGATTGGAAGAGAGGAATAGACCCCCAGTGAAACGGAGGACTTGGATTAAAATTGGCTATCTTTTTATGCCTTTACTGTCATCTGATACTACTTCTTTCTTCTGACATCCGTAAACTGCTTGTTTGAGTCAACTGTGGCACGCTCTTACATAATATGATTTAGTCTTTATACAGTTTCCCGTTTTTATTATGCATAAATAGACTCTTTTGTTTACTTTTAGATTTTTGTGGAATGTTTTCACTTTCAAATGGGCATCAAAAGCCAAAAATTCCTAACACTAAGAATTCTAATATAATAACACTCTATGTCCTGCATGTCTTCTCCTCTTTGCCCCCTGCCCCCACCCCACCCAAGTCCTTTAGCTCTTCATCTGAATGTTGAAGTTGATTGATCTTCATGTTTCAAGTTTCTTTTCAGAGATTAAAGTACTATGTACAGTGCTGGCCAGTGAAGCTGTGCGATTTCCCTTTCTGCCCTTTGCTCTGGTTGGCTTGAGCGTATAATAGCTTCAGATAAAAAATTTCTCCTAAAGATGATCTTGCATCTAGATACAAACTAAAAAAAAAAAAAAAAAAAAAAAAAAAAAAAAAAAAACAGGAACAGAAACTTGTTCCTGATAGTCTTGTAAAATTGTGTCATCTGTTAGGAATTAGTTTTTATTGAAAACTGTTTGTTTTAGTTCTGTTTCACGGGAGAGATCACACAAAAACATAGCAGATCGAATACTTTCTAGAGCTGCCTGACACCTTATACTTTCTAGCCGTGTTTCTTGGTTTTGCAGCTGCAGCAAATGATTTTGACAACTGGATTAGCATTTAAAATTTACACTGTCTTAAAATTGTGGGTATGTTTTGTTATCAAAGAGACAATTAGCATCTGAAATATAACCCTATTACTGGTTTGAGTAGATCTTTTTGGAAGCATATTTTACTATGTAGTTTCTCTTCGAAATTGCCTCAGAAGACTGTTTTGCGACTTAAGTCTACATAGAGATCCAGAGGGGTCTTACGTAAACATTTGAGTTTTCGTTGTATATATTCAATTATACACGTTACAAGAATGAGTTAAATGCAAAACTGCTTCCTAAACCTGAGAATTTTACAAGTGTATGTTGTAGATGTAACAGTTGTCTTTTTGGGTTTCAAATATAAAAAATCAGAAACCTGATAATACTTGACTCTTAAGATGAGTTATTTTTCTCTGTTGATTGCCCCAACTTCAAAGTTTTAGCACAAGAGTTTGTGTTTGTTGTTGGGGTTTTTTTTTTTTGTTTTTTTGGTTTTTTTTCCTGAGTAATTTGGCAGGGAAAAATGATAAACTGTCAGCTTTATTGTGCTCAGTTTTGCCTAACATGCCAGAGGTTTTGCGAAGCAGTTGGCTTGATAATGAGGATGTGTGCATAAAATTTACCTGTAGGTTGTGTAGTCCTGTTGTCAATCTTGTGTGGATTTCTCTTGTTAGATCTTCTAAATTAATTTGTAGCTTCTACTTGCTTTCCAGAAACCATTATTCATGACCTCCTAGAAGTGTTTGCCACCAAATATTTTGTGTGTTTACCTAATTTTTTGAGATTTCCACTCACCTTTTATTGAAATATACACAATGTATGTAATGTCTTCAGAAGTATCTGAGAGTTTAATATATACTTGCTTTGAGCTTTTCAGCGAATAACTACTCATTAAATGGTGCATAACTACAACTACAGCAAAGAATTTATAGTTTTGTGTTCATACAGTAATCAAACTTATGGAACTTAATCACAATTGCTACCACTGAGTGCTAATTCATTAAATTAATCACCTTGGCCACATGAGCTCATGAGTGACAAGAATATCATGTTAAAATCTACAGGATTTGTAACCTTGTGAAGTGTAAATCACTTTTAGATTTGAAGCTGAAACTTCTGACAGTGTAGATTTTCAGCAGGCTGCTGTTCTAGGTGGCTTTTATAGTTTCCCAAAGAATTACAGAAATCTGCACAGGGCCTTACACTTGCTAAAATGGTTCCGGATGTGATTCAACATCAGCATTTCTTTGTTATGTCTCTGTCATTCCACTCTGTTGTGGCCTTCAGCATGCTTGCAATCAAAGATGATGTTTTTTTAATAGGAGGACTTTATAGTTTTATATGTATTTATGAAGATTTGCAATTTTCATAGGGTGTTTGGGTATTGAAGTTTAATGCCTGCACATTAGTCTTTGGTAAAATACAGTAATTCTGATATGCATTTTGATGTGTTTCTGGGTTTTGGTGGGTTTTTTTGTTTGGTTTTTTTTTTTAACTGGAAGAGATTTTAAATCTTCTGGGAGGGTAGAAGGAAGGTGTTGTGATGCATATCTTTGCATGTGTTAGATCTTGGCAGAAATAGAAATATTGTCCTTATCTGAAATATTCTAATATCCATGGAAAATAACATAAATTTTATGTTTGTTTTATAAGTAAAATGGGACCAAAGATAAACATTTTGAGTGCAAATAGAATACAAAAGAGTTTTAACTAGAAATATATGAGAAATTTTGAAAGTGAATATAATTGGCAATCTGAAATCCGAAATGACAGATTTTTAATAGATTTGTTAATTTATTTAAAGATTTCTAGAATGCAAAAAAGAAATTGGCATTAGTAGCATGTATTTCATACTACTTATGTGGTAGTACTTTCATTTGCCTTTTTTTTTTGTTTTCCAATGACTGCCTTGTGGTATTCTTAAAAATACAAGGAGTGATTTAACAGAATGGAAAAAAGTGTTGTTTCAAAGTAAAGCATTTGCTTTTTGAATTCTGCTTAGAAAAACAACCTGCAAGCATATACTTGCTTCTTTGTGTATCATGCAACACTTGCTCCTTACTTCATGCCTAGTACATTTCTTCTTTTAAGCAATTAAAACTAGATGGTGATGCATGTGCATGCTCTTTCTTAGCTGGTGAGCTTTAATAATGAATTGAAAATGCATTGTACTGCAGCTGTTATGTTTGCGACTTTTAGTACAGGTAAGTGGATTATTATAGAGTATAGTAGTGTGACAGATTGTTAAAACATCCCAGTTTCAAGGTGAAACATGAAAGATGTCTTTGCTTTTATTGGCTTATCTATATGAATTGTTTCATAGTTCAGCTGGTTGTAGTGGTAATAGTCATCTTCCTGCATGATCAAAAAAAATGGTTCTGAAAATACTCAAAGTTATGATTTTTTTTTTCTGGTCCAACAATGAATAGAAATTATGAAAAAAATTCCCCTGGCCACTGTGAACATGGGCAATTTGCCCATCTTGGGGGTGGGGGGGGTGGGAGGGGCGGAGGAAGGGAAAA